CCTCTTTTATTGGATGTAGAAGATAGAGCCTGTGCCCTAGCTGCAGCAGATGCTGATGATCCAGATACTGTTCCAGATTCCGCAAGCTAGAAAAAAATTATACTTTTTCGTATATTCTGTAAAATTTTGAAATGGAGTTCAATTGAGAAAGAATTGCGTCAATTTAAGAAACATAATGTATTGTAGAAACTAAGAATCGTGACTGTTTGAAATCTTAAGGCATTTAAGTATATACTGCTAGTTATTCTATCTCAACTGAGCATTCTGTATCATGTAACCAGATAGATATGTAAAACACTTGTTAGGATTGTTTCTGAAATTGAACAATCAAGAATTAAGGTTTAACCAACTATAAAATTAGTAGAGAGTATTACGAAATACATTATTTGTCAGAAAAGAGAAAAAATGTGTTAGTTACCTGAAGGTACGCAAGGGCAATGCAGCCCAAAAAGGCCAGTGTTGCTATTTTCATGATGAAGGCTGCTGAACTGATGATGACAATTCTCGCTGTTTCCAAGTTTTTATACTAAAATGCGTTCTTTGTTTCCTATTATCATTTATTAATTTTATCGAAATCTATCAAATGATCTACTTTCGGCAATATTTGTTAATTTCAATTCGAATCGATCGATATCAGTTGTCTCACTAATATTGCTAATTTTATTTGCCTGTGAGGGGATTTGCAGTTCGTAGACAAGTAAGTAAGTCTTTTGTCACCTGTGGACGAAAAAGTCGGACTAGGTACGTGCAAATATCTCTTTTAACATAAGTAAAAAGAAGAAGTAATGCGGTCAATTCAATTTGAAGTCTACAAGTGCCTGACAAATTCAGTAGTTTACAATACTTCTTAATATGACCTCCTAGATGGGAGCTTTTGTCATTCTGTTTTTTAAGCACCCTAAGGGTTGGTATAGGATTGAAGGCAATAAATAAAATAATCGTTTTTGAAAACAAACTTTTATGTAGCCAATAATAAAAAAAAATAATGATTTGGAGATATGCCCTTTGCTCCCTTCCTCTAAAATAAAATATCGTTACACCCTTTTCCCTTTTAGTTCCCACGCCTACTGGCGGAGAAGTAATAATCGCAAAAATTTTCGAAAATGAGATATTACGTTTTTTGTAGCTAATTACCAAAACCTTATAGTATGTTATATCAATCTTCTTCTCTTAAATTTGAGGCAATCCATTTAGAAAATCCAACTTTGATATGTAGGTCAAAATTGGGACACCCTGTATAATTGCCAATATTTCAGAAATGTGCCCTCAAATGTCATTTATAACAAGCTATAAAGAGATTTTCCCAAAATGTATTCGTTTATACTCGTATATATATATATATATATATACTAGTATAGATTTGATTTACAACGTCCGTCATTACGTTTAGCTTATATGTTGCTTGACGACTGGACTATAAGCCACAATACGGACAACTTTTGTGCCTAGGTATATCGTTGTCAGCGTAGGATGATTTTTTGCTCTACATTTGTTGCAGCAGTGAATTAAATTTTAGATGTATGTGACATAAATACCTGGACCTTAAGATAATACTGGTGTCCGTCGTCTGTTAATGAGTCTTCACAAAAAAACTGCGGCGTCAATCGCTGAGATAAAACCACTGTTCCATAGACTTTGTTGACAACCAAAATATCAGTTGTCGATTACAAAAGGATCTTTTTTCATTCAAAGTCAGATATCTCCGCACCAATTAAACGTATCGAGATTTTTAAAACAAGATGATGAAGCTGAATAAGCGGACTATTTAATCCATATTGCCCAACACAAAAAACCTGAAAATTAGAATCTTGAAGCTTAAAATTGCTCTTTTTAAGTCTAGATACGAGCATTTTTCACCGAACTACAGCCTCTCAAAGATCACAGAAAAATGCTTACCTTTTCTTGCTCATTTAATTTTTTTGAGTAGTTTAGGTTGTTAAAATAGTAAGTTTTGGAACTTTAATTACGAAATTGACTCTTACGCCTTCATACGGGAGGGTGCTCTTTAGAGACTTTAGTCTAAATTGCAGTTAGCCCATCTTCTCTTATTCACGATGTAACTGCCCCCCGCATGATCGATAGTTTTAACGTACCTTAATAAAAAAAATTATTGTTTTCAACCACAGTCTTTATTGCATAATTTGATACCAAGCCCTTTTCACTGCAGGAATACACGATCTCGTTCACGCCGCTCTCGTTTCTCCTTGTAACAATTGTTTAAATCCAAGGAGAGATCATTCCTCTAACGGCATTCAATCCTCAAGGAACGTATATTAATGTGTCTCAGGGCCGAATCGTCAGTCGTTCCTACAATTGTAGGACGCCTTTATGGTCTACTTCATTGTCATAGTGTTTTCTCTCCTTCAGAAAGGCTGGGGTATTTCTGGATTTCACCTGTTCCGTGTCAGCGTCAAGGCTCTCCTATTGTGAGGTTATGGTTTTTTTTGAATTGTAGGAAATTTCAGGCTGATAAAACAGATATAAATAAAAATCATGGAAAATTCGATGCAAATATTTTGTGACATAACCTCAAAATAGAGCGCTGACAGGGAACAGTAGAAAACCATGAAAATCAAGGAGGCAATAAAGGCATCCTAAAATTGTAGGAACGACTGAAGATACGGCGCGTAAAGGCCTCTACGACCGGATAGTTAATTGATTCTTTGGGTACATAGAATTCCAATTCGTCGAGTCAGTTTGATGCTAGAATCCACGGGCCGATCTGAGCGACCAAATTTTTTCCTCAAATTTGGCTACACGATTTTCTGGTGGTCATATTTGGACCCGGATTCTGAAATAATCCATTCCTATCAAGTTCTATTCATCTACAACAATAGGAGATGAAAATCAAAAGTTTGCTCTACACAGTGCTATGATGTTTCCAGGTTTATTCAACGAAGCTTTCAAAAATACCCCCTTTTTTGAAATTAAATTCGTTTTATAATGGGTGATTTTTTTGCTAGTATCTTTTTGGCAACACTGTTTTTGACAGATGACGCGTGAATCGTGTCTTGTGTCATTGTCAAACTTGTTCAATTTAACCATGAATCGAATTACAAACGAAGAACGCTTGCAAATTATTGAACTTTACTATCAAAATTCATGCTCGGTTAAGAGAGTGCATCGAGCACTGCTTCCAATTTATGGGCAATTTGGTCGGCCTACTGAGAGAGCTATTCGAAAGCTTGTGACTAAATTTCGAATCCAGTTTACATTATTGGACATTAAACCACCAACACGCAGACGTAGAGTGAGGACTGCAGAAAATATTGCGGCTGTATCCGCCAGTGTTAGTGATGACCGTGAAATGTCGATTAACGCCGCCGTTCGCAGCAATTGGGCCTCTGTTACTCCACTACGCGGAAAATTTTGCGACAGGATTTGGGTGTAAAACCTTATAAGATACAGCTGGTACAAGAATTGAAGCCACACGACCTCCCACAACGTTTCCAATTTGGTGAATGGGCGCTGTCAATGTTGGAGGAAGATCCACATTTTAATCGAAAAATTGTGTTCAGCGACAAAGCTCATTTCTGGTTGAATGGGTACGTTAACAAGCAAAATTGCCGCATCTCTAGTAAGGACCAGCCAGAAGCATTGCAAGAGCTACCAATGCATCCCGCAAAAATCACTGTTTGGTTTGGATTATGGGCCGGTGGCATCATCAGGCCGTACTTCTTCAAAGACGACAATGGCCGGAACGTAACTGTGAATGACGAGCGCTACTGTGCGATGATAACAAACTTTTTTTGCCCACAATGGAAGAGCTGGACTTGGCTGACATGTGGTTTCAACAAGACGGTGCCACATTCCACACCGCACACGAAACAATGTCCCTATTGAGAGGCGAGTTCGGTGAACAGTTTATCCCACGTTTGAGGCCCGTCAATTGACCGCCTAGATCGTGTGATTTAACGCCGTTGGACTATTTCTTGTGGGGCCATGTTAAGGATAATGTCTACAGGGATAAACCAGCAACGATTGGCGCACTGGGAGCCAATATTGAAGCATTTATTCGTGAGACACCGGCCTATATGTTGGAGAGAGTGTGCCAAAATTGGACCTTGCGCATGGGCCATTTAAAGCGGAGCCGCGGCCAACATTTACATGAAATAATCTTTAAACATTAAATTATATCGACCGTTCTATCGACTCAAATAAAGATTTAATCGTTTTTTCAAATTTTTTGTGTTTTTTTTTTTGAAAATCAAATCCTATACCTCTTAAAAAATCACCCGTTAAATAAGTTGGGCGTGTCAGTTCCGCCTCCTATTTTACTTTTGTGACAGGAGACTCATTTACTACGTCTGATTTGGCTTCACGACACCACCTAACGAGAAGTACCAGAATCCTTTGTGGTTTCTTGACATCTGATTGGAGACTGGGGGCCACTGTATTTTAAGACTTCATCTATCCGCATTCGATTTGTTTTCATGAATTCTGTGAGGTTTGTCCTCAAATAATGAGAATGAAATATTTTCATTCCGAGCTATAAACACAAGATGTTCTGCAATTAGAGCAATAACAAAACAACTGCTTTCAATTTTTGAATACCTGTAACAGATATATTCTCGTATTCATTTTCGTGTATATTTTGGACCTGAGCAACAACATAAATATACTTTATGTAAGATGATGAATTTTATTTTGAAATCCATATTTTAAATCATTTTGCAGAATCACAAAGAAGTATCGTTTGCGCTTTGGTGAACCACCATTAGATTTTGAAAAATAAAGTTTTCAGTTTGTATAATAAGCAAATCTATAGTGTTTAACTAATTATCTACGTCACTGGTACGAGTGCTTCGTTCAACTTTGTTGGTTTCCGAGTTCTTCACATTTTCTGTTATATACATGGAGAATGCTCCATTAGTTTAGACTTTGTATAAAATTGACGAAGAATAAAAGAATATAAATATAATTGCTATAATATTTATTTTCAAATTCCAAATCCACGATCACAATTCAAACTACGACATGTCTCATCCTGCTTAGGTTGCTTATGCAACACTGTTGGTAGCAGCTCCAGCTTTAGCCCCAGCTACAGCGGCACTCCTTCCACTCGACTTTGAACCAGCTACTGCACCAGCTGCAGCACCTGCTCCTGACACTCCTCCGGCTACTCTAGACCCAGATTCTGCTCCAGCCAGCGCACCAGCAGACGAAGATCCTCTTGATACACCAGAAGCTCCTGAACCAGCTACCGCACCTGCAGCAGCACCTGCTCCTGACACTCCTCCGGCTACTCTAGATCCAGATCCTGCTCCAGCCAGAGCACCAGCAGATGACGATCCTCTTGATACACCAGAAACTCTTGAGCCAGCTATAGCTCCTGCTCCTGACACTGCTCCAGCTCCATTAGATCCAGCAATTGCTCCAGATAAGACACCTGCAGATGCTTCACCGCTAGCTACTTGAGATGAACTAGTTGCTGATGACCTAGATACAGCAAGGGTTTGAGATGGTACCTGGTACTGGATGGGCTGTGGTTGAATCATGGGTCCGTAGCTGATTGGTCCTTGGATACCTGGAATGGGATAGAGATGAAAGTAGTTTTTTGACTTGCTTCAAAAGCCAAAGTCGTCCAAACCGAGGTTTGGGGCTTCTACCATTAATTGCTGCAGTTTTAAAAATAAGGGAATGTTGTAGTATAAAACGAGTACGTTTCTTTGCCATAAAGATATACGAAACAGCAAGATTGGTACAAAATTGGTTAGACCTGGAGACTAAATATATAATAAAACGCTTCCAACAGATGTTGTTCCCAAAAGTATTTCACTCCATACCTTGTAGTCCTCTGGGTCCTCTCAATCCCTGAGATCCTTTTGGCCCTGGTTGTCCGGCTGGTCCAGCAGGTCCTTCTTGTCCACTAGGTCCTTCAGGTCCTGCGATGCCTTGAGGTCCCACTGGGCCCATTGGTCCTATTGGTCCTGGCAGTCCTGGTAGACCGTCTAATCCAGGGAGACCTTGAGGTCCTGGAAGTCCGTTAAGGCCTGGAGTACCTGCGGGGCCTGGGGGTCCGGGAGGTCCAGGTGGTCCTGGGGGACCTGCGGGTCCAGAAGGTCCATTGGAGCCAGGTTGACCGTTCAAGCCTGGTAGTCCGGAAAGCCCAACTTGTCCTGATACGCGTCTAATACCCTGGTAGGTAGATCCAATAACGGAAGATGAAGCTCCAGCTAGACTGCTGGATTGCGATACACCACCTGTACTCAACGCTGAGGCTCCTGCTCCTGAGCTAGATTGAACTACGTTTTGAGAGATGGAGGTAGCTCCAGCACCAGCATTCGATTGAGCAACGTTAAGGCTGTTGGTGTTGCGGGAGATAGAGGCAGCTCCTGCGCCAGCACTGGATTGAGAAGCTGATAGACCTTGAGCTACAGATAAGGACTGAGCTCCAGCAGCAGATTTTGCTGAGCTGGCTGAATAAGCAGGGCTGTCGGTGTTAGAAGATGCTTTTGAGTTTGCAGATGCGCCAGCAGCTGCTAGGGCGGCAGAGTTGGCCAGACCTCTTTTATCGGATGTAGAAGATAGAGCCTGTGCCCTAGCTGCAGCAGATGCTGATGATCCAGCTACTGTTCCAGATTCCGCAAGCTAGAAAAAAATTATACTTTTTCGTATATTCTGTCAAATTTTGAAATGCAGTTAAATTGAGAAAGAATTGCTTCAATTTAAGAAACGTAATGTATTGTAGAAACTAAGATTCGTGACTGTTTGAAATCTTAAGGCATTTAAGTATATACTGCTATTTATTCTATCTCAACTGAGCATTCTGTATCATGTAACCAGATAAATATGTAAAACACTTGTTAGGATAGTTTCTGAAATTCAACAATCGAGAATTAAGGTTTAACAAACTATTAAATTAGTAGAGAGTATTACGAAATACATTATTTGTCAGAAAAGAGAAAAAATGTGTTAGTTACCTGAAAGTATGCGAGGGCAGTGCAGCCCAAAAAGGCCAGTGTTGCTATTTTCATGATGAAGGCTGCTGAACTGATGATGACAATTCTCGCTGCTTCCAAGTTTTTATACTAAAATGCGTTCTTTGTTTCCTATTACTCCGTTATCATTTATTAATTTTATCGAAATCTATCAAATGATCTACGTTCGGCAATATTTGTTAATTTCAACTCGAATCGATCGATATCAGTTATCTCACAAATATTGCTAATTTTATTTGCATGTGACGGGTTTAGCAATTCGTAGACAAATAAGTAAATCTTTTGTCACCTGTGGACGGAAAAGTCGGACTAGAATAAGTAAAGAGAAGAAGTAATGCGGTCAATACAATTTGAAGTCTACAAATGCCTGACAAATGCAGTAGTTTACAATATTTCTTAATATGACCTCCTAGATGGGAGCTTTTATCATTCTGCTTTTTAAGCACCCGAAGAGTTGGTATAGGATTAAAGGCAATAAATAGAATAATCATTTTTGAAAACAATTTTTTATGTAGCCATTAATAAAAAAAATAATGATTTGGAAATATGCCCTTTGCTCCCTTCCTCTAACATAGAATATTGTTACACCCTTTTCCCTTTTAGTTTCCACGCCTACTGGCGGAGATGTAATAATCGCAAAAATTTTCGAAAATGAGATATTACGTTTTTTGTAGCTAATTACCAAAACCTTATAGTATGTTATAACAATCTTCTTCTCTTAAATTTGAGGCAATCTATTTAGAAAATCCAACTTTGATATGTAGGTCAAAATTGGGACACCCTGTATAATTGCCAATATTTCAGAAATGTGCCCTCAAATCTCATATATAACAAGCCATAAGGAGATTTTCCCAAAATGTATTTGTTTATGAGTAATATTCCGTCCACACATGGATGGGCCACCCTGTATACACTCGTATATATATATATATATATTAGTATACATTTGATTTACAACGTCCGTCATTACGTTTAGCTTATATGTTGCTTGACGACTGGACTATAAGCCACAATACGGACAACTTTTGTGCCTAGGTATATCGTTGCCAGCGTAGGATGATTTTTTGCTTTACATTTGTTGCAGCAGTGAATTAAATTTTAGCTGTATGTGACATAAATACCTGGACCTTAAGATAATACTGGTGTCCGTGGTCTGTTAATGGGTCTTCACAAAAAAACTCCGGCGTAAATCGCCGAGATAAAACCACTGTTTCATTGACTTTGTTGACAACCAAAATATCAGTTGTCGATTACAAAAGGATCCTTTTTCATTTAAAGTCAGATATCTCCGCACCAATTAATCGTATCGAGATTTTTAAAACAAGATGATGAAGCTGAATAGGCGGACTATCTAATCCATATTGCCCAACACAAAAAACCTGAAAATTAAAATCTTGAAGCTTAAAAATGCTTTTTTTTTAAGTCTAGATACGAGCATTTTCCACCGAAATACAGCCTCTCAAAGATCACAGAAAAATTCTTACTTTTTTCTTGCTCACTTAATTTTTTTGAGTAGTGTAGGTTGTTAAAATAAGAAGTTTTGGAACTTCAATTACGAAATTGTCTCTTTCGCTTTCATACAGGAGGGTGCTCTTTACAGACTTTAGTCTAAATTGTAGTTAGCCCATCTGCCTTCGGATTTCTCTTATTCAACGATGTAATTTCCCCCCCCCCCCCCCATGATCGATAGTTTTAACGTACCTTAATAAAAAAATATTGTTTTCAACCACAGTGTTTATTGCATAATCTGATACCAAGCCATTTTCACTGCAGGAATACACGATCTCGTTCACGCCGCTCTCGTTTCTCCTTGTAATAATTGTTTAATTCCTCTAACGGCACTCAATCCTCAAGCAACGTATATTAATGTGACTCAGGGTCCAATCGTCAGTCGTTCCTACAATTGTAGGACGCCTTTATGGCCTACTTCATTGTCATAGTGTTTTCTCTCCTTCAGAAAGGCTGGGGTATTTCTGGATTTCACCTGTTCTGTGTCAGCGTCAACGCTCCCCTATTGTGGGGTTATGGTTTTTTTTGAATTGTAGTATATTGCAGACTGATAAAACAAATATATCTCCGTGCAGACATACGTACAGAAAATTTCTGACAAAAGAGCTGCAATTAAGCAAGCGATGAGGTCTTGTCACCTAGATGACATTCACAGAGCAACGAATCTTGTTCATGAAGTGAGAAATGCTCTTCATGAATTCCGTAATGAACAATGGAGCGACTTTCTGTCGGGGATGCTTGACTCAAGTATTCCTCTCGGGAAAGTTACAAAGTCGCTCAGAAACGGAAAGCGGGCATAGCCTGTAGGACAGAGAAAAAAGTCGAGGTTTTCGCTGATGCAATGGAAAGTCAGTTCTCTCCCAACTATGACCTTGATAATGACCTCGACGAGGAGCAACATATTGTAGGATCCGCCAGGTTATATTTTAGGGCCAACGGCGTCAGTGGCAGTAGTGCCTCCCTTAGTGATTTTTCCTCAGAGGAATCTTCAGAAGATTCTTCAATTAAAGAGCTGCACGGCACATCAGCGGAATCTCCTGAGACTCCGCATTGCACACCAGCAGAGGTCCAAGGCCATATTAACGACCTCAAGGTGCGTAGAGCACCTGGAGAGGATCGAATCACTAATAAGGCGCTGAAGCTACTTTCGCGGAAATCCTTAACTTATCTCGTGGCAATAATCAATGCCATGCTAAGGACCCAGCACTTCCCAACGGCGTGGAAGACCGCTGATGTCATAATGATTCCAAAGAAGGTGGGTTCGATATTCCCCCAGGATTCCCGTCCCATTAGTCAATTCCTCTTAAGCTCGCTGAAAAGGTGATTCTACGTCACCTTGAAAATGTCTCGGCAGGCCACAATGTGATTCCTGACGTGCAATTTGGCTTTCGGTCTGAGCATAGTACGGAGCTACAGGCCATTAGGCTTATTGAACGAGTAACCAACCAACCAACCTTGCTTCTGAATGTCTCAAAGGCAAATGACTAGGTGTGGCACAAGGGCCTTCTCTACAAATTGATCCATAAGGGCTTCCTCTTCTGGCTTCTAAAACTTTTGAAATCCTTTCTCGAGGGTAGGAAATTTCGGATCAAAATTGATAACGTGCTGTCGACAACACGGCCCATCAAAGCCGGTGTCCCTCAGGGTTCGGTTCTTTATTCACTTTTTATTCATGACGTCTCTTGCTCCAGCAGCTGTGAAACCTATCTCAATGCTGATGACACTGCCCTGATGGCCCAGTCGTGCTCTGGGGATCTAGTTCACGACAGGCTGCAAAGTGCAGTGGACGAGGTATTGGATTGGGCGAATCGGTGGCTGATCAAAATTAATCATTCGAAAACGCAGACAATCTATTGTACCTGGCAAAAGCACACTGAGACGTTAAAAGCTAGAATCCAAATCTCGTTTCGGCAACTCTACCCTATACTATGTAGAACATCAAAATTAAGTTTGATCAACAAAGTTCGTTTATACAAGATGGTTACTAGACCACCGATCACTTACGCAAGTGCGGCTTGATGTTTTCTCGCCAAAACGCATTTGCGTAGCCTGCAGGTTTTGCAGAAAAGAACCTTGCGTAGAATCACTAACGCCCCATGGTATGTTTCCAACGAGACCCTTCACAGAGACCTTGACATTCCTTACCTAAGAGACTACGTCAAACAACAAGCGCAGCTACGTTATAGACAAGCGGAATCGCATAGCAACCCTTTATTGCGCGGGTCAGTAGACTACACAGTCGAGCAAGTTCGCAAGCACACAAGGCCGCGACTCGCACTGTGAACAAAATTAAATCGTGCGACTTTTGGTCCAACCAAAATTATAATTTTTCTTCAACAACCAATCCCAAAATTAATTTTAGGATCAATTTAAAATTGCCGAATACTAACTAGCAATGCCAAGGCACCCCTCAAATTGATGCACTTCTTTTTTCTTTGCTCTTCCTCCTTCCTTCCTTCCTTTCTTCTTCCCTTCTTTCTCCCTGACTTTGATTGGTATCTGTGCAACCAGACCTGACAGACCTACTGACTTACAAGACTTCAACCAAGGGCAAAGGTCCTACGGATCGCTCTGACAGACAATGACGAATAGTATAAAACAGATATATAGTCAACGCCAAACAAAGTGGCGTGCACGTCATCACGATAAAAATTCCCCGACCTAATGCCTAGGTTTCTATCACAAACAATTGCTCTATTGCAGTTTCATATTAATGTGATATATAAATTGTAAAATGGTCATTACTCTCTTATTATGGTTAATAGTCATATAAACATTGTTATTAAAATATCACATAAGTTGCTTTCTGATAAATTTAGACGCATTATGCGAAATAAAATGTTTTGCAAACGCTCCAATCACTTATCGACATGTAAACGCACTAAACCGATTTCGCAGCGTTGACACATTGTCACCTTGAAACTTATTTAAACTGGGAACTGACATTTGTATTAATTTTGACACTGAATCAATTTGTGGCATTTCAAATCTTTATAAATCCTTTGGCCCCGCATACTGTAAATCAACAACTGTTTGTTTCAAAACAAAATTATTCATTTTACGAGTAGATAAAGGCAATTTTGGTATATAAAGATGCCCAAACAGTTAAATAGTCGGTGTAAGGAACTCGTGGCCTCGTTAATGCACTACTTTGAGCAAGAAAGGGACAACAACGGGCCTTTGTTGCCTTTAAATGCTGTTCAAGAGGTAGGTTACTAATAATTATATGTAATGTATATTAATAATAGTGAAATTTTATTTCATTTTTTGTAGCGTGTTGCTGCTGCTTTAAAAATTAGTTTAAGGACAGTTAGTCGTATTTCCGAGGGTGTGGAAAGTGATGCAAATTTAGAATCGCCCAAGAAAAAGCGGAGTTATATTAAACGTGTAACCAACACAGCGACATTGGATACAAGTGCCATTCGAGAAGTGATCTATAATATGTATCACAAAAGTAAGATCTTATTATAATAACTTATCAGAAATTTGCATTAATTTGTTAACTAAATTATAATGTCATATTACACATGGTTTCAGAAGAACAAGTTACGATACAAACTTTATGGTATCTATCGATTAAGAGATAGGGCATTATTTGATGGTAGTGCCACGTCTTTAAGGCGGTTGCTTAGAGATCTTGGATTTAAGTGGCTTAATGACAATCCGCGACGAGGGCTCATGGAACTACCAAGTATAGCTTTGAAAAGGGTGGAATTTCTAAGGCAATACAATCAAGCCAAGGTTGAGGCCTTATACCAGTTTGTCTTCCTCGATGAAACTTGGGTATTTCAAAATGGGACCATAGGTCGCTCTTGGCAAAATGGAAACCAAAAAAGCGTGAAAGCTATTAAAACAGATGGTAAAAGGTATGTACTTTTACACAATTTGCACTATAAAATTTAAAACTAATATATTTTAGATACATTATATTACATGCTGGAAATGAAAATGGGTTTATTGAGGGTAGTGAAGCGATATTTTCTTCGAAAACAAAATTGAGCGATTACCATGGAGAGATGAACCAGGACAATTTTTTGAAATGGTTTCAACATCAGTTATTAGAAAAATTGGAGAGTCCATCTATGATTATACTGGATAACGCCCCTTATCACAGCATGATATTGAACAAAGTGCCCAACAATGCATGGACAAAAAAAAATATCCAAGACTGGTTGACAAATCAAAACATACCATTTTTAAACACAATGTTTAAAACAGAGCTATTGAGTATTGTTGCTCGGTACATAATGCTTCTTAATTATATATATTTTGGTCGACAGTTTATATTTCTTTTGTTTATTCCTATTCTTAAAATAACTGCTTTTTTAGAAACAAACCACCTAAAATATACGTGATTGATGAATTGGCGGAACAACATGGGCACAAAGTTCTTCGTCTGCCTCCTTACCATTGTATATTTAACCCTATTGAGTTAATTTGGGGCATAGCAAAAGGTTACTATAACAGACATATTGGTAGAGATGGTAACAGTGAAAAAGACTGTTTGGATATGTGGAACGAGGCTCTACAAACGGTTACCCCAGACATGTGGAAAAATAGTGTTCGACATACTGAGCAAGAAATTTTTAAATGGTATGAAAGAGAACGAATTTTTGATCGACCAGACATCGAACCTTTAATAATCAACTTTGAGAGTGATGAAGATTCAGGTTCAGACAGCGCTGAAGAAAGAAACTCCGACTAACTTTATTGTACAGAAAAAGCTTACACCAGTAGCTTACCTAATTTTAGAATGCATTTTTCTGTATGAATTCTGTAAAATAAATACCATGCATAAAATTTGGAGGACCCCATTTGGATTTTTATTCAGTACCTTTAAGCTATCAATTAAATATGGTAGTTTCATAGTGTCATCTGATCAATAATTGTCATACTTAATGATTATGCAAGTACAGATCTATAATTTTATTATACTATTATTTTTGTTCTCATTTGAGGTTAATATTGCTTATAAACCTAGATATGTAAATAATAAATTTTATTATTTTACAAAAAGTTTGGCAACAATGTAAATTTTTCAACACACCCACCTTGATGACGTGCACGCCACTTTGTTTGGCGTTGACTATAAATAAAAATCATGAAAAATTTGATGCAAATAGATATTTTGTGAAATAACCTCAAAATAGAGCGCTGACAGGAACAGTAGAAAACTATGAAAACCGAGGAGGCAATAAAGGCATCCTACAATTGTAGGAACGACTGAAGATACGGCCCTTAAAGGTCTCTACGACCGAATAGTTAATTGATTCTTTGGGTACATAAAATTCCAATTCGTCGAGTCAGTTTGATGCTAGAATCCACGGGCGGACCTGAGCGACCAAATTTTTCCCTCAAATTCGGCTACACGATTTTCTGGTGGGCATATTTGAAGCCGGATTCTGAAATAATCCATTTCTACCAAGTTCTATTCATCTACAACAATAGGAGATGAAAATCAAAAGTTTGCTCTACACAGTACTATGATGTTCTCAAGTTTGTTGCAACGAAACTTTCAAAAAGACCCCCTTTTTTGAAATTAAATTCGTTTTATAAATAAGTTGGGCGTGTCAGTTCCGACTCCTATTTTATTTTTGTGACAGGAGACTCATTTTCTACTTCTGATTTGGCTTCACGACACCACCTAACGAGAAGTACCAGAATCCTTTGTGGTTTCTTGACATCTGATTGGCGACTGGAGGCCACTGTAGTTTAAGACTTTATCTTGGAGTTGAAAATAAAACATATTTGCATGCGTTCTTAAATAAAAGCTTGCGAATAATATAATCTATCCGCATTAGATTTGTTTTCATGAGTTCTGTGAGGTTTGTCCTCAAATAATGAGAAGTATTTTTCAATCCGAGCTATAAACAAGATGTTCTGCAATTAGAGCTATATCAAAACATCTGCTTTCAATTTTTGAATACCTCTGCGACAGTTATATTCTCGTATTCATTTTCGTGTATATTTTAGACCTGAGCAACAACCAAAATATACTTTATGTAAGATGATGAATTTTATTTTGAAATCCATATTTTTTATCATTTTGCAGCATCACAAAGAAGTATCGTTTGTGCTTTGGTGGATCACCATTAGATTTTGAAAAATAAAGCTTTCAGTTTGTACAATAAGCATATCTATAATGTCTTACTAATTATCTACGTCACTGAAGGTACGAATGCTTCGTTCAACTTTGTTGGTTTCCGAGATCTTCGCATTTTCTGTTAGATACATGGAGAATGCTCCATTAGTTTAGACTGTATAAAATTGACGAAGGATAAAAGAATATAAATATAATTGATATAATATTTATTTTCAAATTCCAAATTCACGATTACAATTCAAACTACGGCATGTCTCATCCTGCTTAGGTAGCTTATGCAACACTCTTTGAACCAGCTCCAGCTTTAGCCCCAGCTGCAGCTGCACTCTTTCCACTCGATTTTGAACCAGCTACTGCACCAGCTGCAGCACCTGCTCCTGACACTCTACCGGCTACTCTAGACCTAGATCCTGCTCCAGCTAGCGCACCAGCAGATGAAGATCCTCTTGATACACCAGAAGCTCCTGAACCAGCTACAGCACCTGCAGCAGCACCTGCTCCTGACACTTTTCCGGCTACTCTAGACCTAGATAATGCTCCAGCCAGCGCACCCGAAGATGACGATTCTCTTGATACACCAGAAACTCTTGAGCCAGCAATAGATCCTGCTCCTGACACTGCTCCAGCTCCCTTAGATCCAGCATTTGCTCCAGATAAGGCACCTGCAGCTCCTGCGCCAGCACTGGATTGAGAAGCTGATACTCCTTGAGCTCCAGATAAGGATTGAGCTCCGGCAGCAGCTTTTGCTGAGCTGGCAGAATGAGCAAGGCTGTCGGTGTTAGAAGACGCTTTTGAGTTTGCAGATGCGCCAGCAGCTGCTAGGGCGGCAGATTTGGCCAGACCTCTTTTATTGGATGTAGCAGATAGAGCCTGTGCCCTAGCTGCAGCAGATGCTGATGATCCAGATACTGTTCCAGATTCCGCAAGCTAGAAAAAATTATACTTTTTCGAATATTCTGTCAAATTTTGAAATGGAGATAAATTGAGAAAGAATTGCTTCAATTTAAGAAACGTAATGTATTGTCGAAACTAAGATTCGTGACTGTTTGAAATCTTAAGGCATTTAGTATATACTGCTATTTCTTCTATCTCAACTGAGCATTCTGTATCATGTAACCAGATAGATATATAAAACACTTGTTAGGATAGTTTCTGAAATTGAACAATCAAGAATTAAGGTTTAACCAACTATTAAATTAGTAGAGAGTATTACGAAATACATTATTTCTCAGAAAATCGAAAAAATAGTTACCTGAAGGTATGCGATTGCAATGCAGCCCAAAAAGGCCAGTGTAGGTGTTCTCATGATGAAGGCAGCTGAACTGATGATGACAATTCTCGCTGCTTCCAAGTTTTTATACTAAATACGTTCTTTGTTTCATACTACTCCGTTATCACTTATTTATTTTATCCAAATCTATCAAATGATCTACGTTCGGCAATATTTGTTAATTTCAACTCGAACAGCATTGATTGATATCAGTTATCTCACTAATATTGCTAATTTTATTTGCATGTGAGGGGCTTATCAATTCGTAGACAAATAAGTAAATCTTTAGTCACCTGTGGACGAAAAAGTCTGACTAGGTACGTGCAAATATGTCTCTTGAAATAAGTGAAAAGGAGAAGTAATGCGGTAAATTCAATTTGAAGTCTACTAGTGCCTGACAAATGCAGTAGTTTACAATACTTCTTAATATGACCTCCTAGATGGAAGCTTTTATCATTCTGTTTTTTAAGTATCCTAAGAGTTGGTATAGGATTGAAGGCAATAAATAAAATAGTCATTTTTAAAAACAAACTTTTATGTAGCCAATAATAAAAAAAATAATGATTTGGAAATATGCACTTTGCTCCCTTCCTCTAAAATAAAATATTGTTACACCCTTTTCCCTTTCAGTTCCCACGCCTGCTGGCGGAGAAGTAGTAATCGCAAAACTTTTCGAAAATGGAATATTACATTTTTTGACATATATATCACGAAAAACTATTCATTCCGTCAGTCTATCTGTGTGTATGTCGGTCTGTGCGATAATCTTATAACCGCTTATAGCTTGAAAAGCACCGATCGGATTTCGATGAAATTTTTACACAATGTCACTACTTTGCCAAGGACGCAAGGGCTTTGTAGTCTTTGAAAATCGATCTAGTGGCGGCAGAGGATAAGGCAAAATCCGAGAGAATAGAAATCGCGAAAACTTCATATCTTGACGTTTCAGAGGACCCTGATTATTTTTGAAAAACTTATAGCGGTGAAAAAACTTGGGGGTGGGGGTTGTAGCGCCTCTCACACATATTTCGCACATCATAGATTTCTCGGTACATTAGCCCTAGAAAAATATTTTCAGAAGAGGGATCAAGTACCTACCGGCCGCGGCTGCGGCTCCCGGCTGGCCTTGGTGAGTGCTCTGTTGTTCAGATATGGTATTACATGTATTTCTACCGTACCACAGCATAGTGTCTCCTAGGCTTGGCTGATCGGCAGGATTATTACGTAAAAACCTATATCTGTACCATAAAGCTAAAGTTTAAGAGTATGATAATATTGTCAATTTTCATTTGCTACATGCAGCGTCCATCTATCTGTAGATAATAATAAGGGAGTAACGGCTTTTTAACACATGTCAATTCGCATACAATACAATGCAAGTAACATATTTCAAATACAAATATATCAAAACTACTTATTTGGACTTAACCTATTCTGGCTCTGAGGTACAGATATACTAAGTGACATATAAATCCGAACACCCAGTTTAAATGGTTTTGTTTTAATAGAAGTTGGTGAATGAATTTATCTTACTGTAAATAACAAGTGAAAAAATGTTCAGCCTTATCAGTTGGACATTCCGGTTTTTATACTGCTTTTTTTTTAATTCACTAACGCTCTAAAAATGAATATTTCAGCCGCAGTAAAGGATCAACGTTGGCGGATTTTGGTTCTTGACATTCTTTACGATCGGTTACGATGCCTAGAGTACGGAGACCTGTAGGATTTCGTCAACTTAGTGAGTTTGATAGGGGCCGTATAGTGGGACTTCGGGAAGCTGGACTTTCTTTTCGGGCAATTGCAGTTAGAGTGCAAAGAAGTGCAGACACTGTGGTTAGGTGTTGTCAGGCATGGCTTCGAGAAGGCCGTACGCAAAGAGCAAGGGGCACTGGACGCCGCCGTAGAACAACAGACCGTGAAGATCGCCGCCTAAGATTATTGGCCTTAAGGGACCGTTTCTCCACTACCAGGTCCATTGCAAATGAATGGTTTGCAGAACACGGAAGACCTATTGGCATGCGAAGTGTTTACTGACGAATGAGAAGTTTTGGCTTGTTTTCATACCGGCCACACTGGGTCCTCCCTTTAACTCGAGAACACCGACGTAATCGCCTTGAGTGGTGCAGACAACGGTCACTCTGGGATCAGGAATGGAACAGTATTGTCTTTAGTGACGAGTCTCGATTTTGTTTAGGCATGCACGATGGTCGTGCCACGGTTAGAAGACGACGTGGTGAAAGGAGGAATCCACAGTTTTTTGTTGAAAGACATGTTTATCACACTGTTGAAGTTACGGTATGGGGTGCTATAGCTTATGGTTCCAGGTCACCTTTAATCTTCATCAGAGGTAACATGAACGCGCAGCGTTATATCCACGAAGTTCTAGAACCCCATCTTTTACCCTATCTTGACACCCTGGCAGATCCAACTTTCCAACAAGATAACTCCCGACCACATGTTGCAAGAGTCACAATAGACTTCTTTCAACATAATGATGTCACATTGTTACCATGGCCACCAAGATCTCCCGACTTATCCCCAATTGAGCACGTGTGAGATATGATGGGTAGGAGATTGCTCAATTTGCAACGTCCTCCTCAGACTCTAGAAGCACTTCGAGAGGAGTTGGTGGTTGCCTGGAATGAGATACCACAGAAGGACATTGACCACCTGATCAGAAGCATGCCTAGGCGCGTTGGAGAATGCGTAGCACATCAGGGTGCATCCACACATTATTAAAGGTCAAAGGGCTTTAAAGCAGTGCAACCATTTTGAAATTTTTATCATTTACTTATTATGCTTCATTAAGTACTTATACAAAATTTTATTAAAATAAAACCATTTAAACTGGGTGTTTGGATTTATATGTCACTTAGTATAATATCAAGAAAACCGATAAAATGTGAACTGGTTGACTAATGACTAAGTAGGCTAGTGTGCAAATAGTTCACTTCGCGCTTGCTACAAGTGAGCATGAAGTGAACGACAACTAGTTCCAAGTTGACGTCTTGTAGGAAAACCTGCATAATGTCAAAACACGACATAGTGTCACTACGGAAGTTACGTAATGCCCCTGCCGGTTAAGTATCGCGGAGAGGCGACGTTTCCAGATGCACTATCGGTTGGGCAGGGAGACAATGTCAGGATTAATTGTATGGATCTGTTTGACTGACTTTTTTCTCAGAGCGTCTAGTTGGTTGTAAACATAATTTTTTATGGACGGATAAGGACGTTGCGTGGAAAGTGCAGCGCTGTTATTTGGAACCTTGAAACGAAGAAGCTTCCGTATCGTTTAAATACTAAGAAGTATAAGACATCATATTTTCAATTGGAAAAAACACTTTAAAATACTTGGTTCTTCTTCTTATTCGGCTAGTTGTTTTTAATAACTGACAATGCAAATTTGTTTTTTAAGATCTTTATCATTTTATTTATTTTATACATTTTAGTATTTATGTTAGATAACACTGATCAACAGCCAAAAAATATCCTAAACAAAATCAACAAAATATTACTATTTTTAATGTACTAAAACCGGAATGAAACTTATTTTTTCAATATTAGTTCGAGTCTTAGAGATACGGTAATTATATGTGTTCCTGCTATGACAGTGTTAATATACTGTAATTCACAAGAATGCACGTGCTACATTTTTATATTCGGCAAGGAAAGATGATGTAATCGGCATGATTGTGTTACGTTATACATACGTGTAGATTATATTGTTTTATATTAGCCATTTTTTCCTCAGTAGGCTGACAGCGTTCATGCAAGATGTCTCGAAAGTGTGTAAACAATCCAGATCAGTTTTGTTGCGTGTGTGGTGATGTGACTTTTGCGTCTCAGAGACGGTCTATTACACCACTAAAAACAAAGGCATATCAGCTTTATTTAGGTTGTAAACTAGGTGATCAAGACAAACAGTGGGCACCCCACATCTGCTGTAATACATGTGCTTCAAGTCTGAGGAGCTGGTTAAATGGCAAAAAAACGGTCTATGCGCTTTGCTGTCCCAATGGTTTGGAGAGAGCCTACAAATCATATTAATGATTGTTACTTTTGCATGGTACCTTGTGTTGGACAAGCCACAGGTATGCCCAAGAAAAAAAAATCAGTTATTAACTACCCAAACATACCATCTGCGATGAGACCTGTGCCTCACAGTGACGAAAATCCTATTCCAAAACCCCCAGAATCCTACACTTGCGAATCAGAAAACGAATCAGATCATGGCGATCGAGTGATTCGTCAGGAAGAAGATATGCCATCAACGTCAAGAGATCCTGATTTTATACCGAGCACGTCATGCCACCAACCGCACAAAATAACACAGTCAGAATTAAATGATCTTGTAAGAGATTTAGAACTTCCAAAATGTAAGGCAGAGTTACTTGGATCAAGACTGCAGCAGTGGAACTTGTTAGAAGACGATGTTTCGGTATGTGTTTTTCGTGAACGCCACAAAGACTTAGAACCATTTTGCAATATGGAGAATAACTTGGTTTTCTGCAGTAACATTAACGGCTTACTGGCGGCTTTAAATATAAACTATAAACCAGAAGAATAGAGATTGTTTATAGACAGTTCAACATTGAGTTTAAAGGCAGTGTTATTGCATATTGGAAATATTTTACCATCTCTTCCTGTAGGGTATGCAGTTCACATGAAAGAATCATATGACAATATGAAGTACCTATTAACATGCATAAAATACGATAAGCACCAATGGCATATTTGTGGCGATTTGAAAGTTGTTGCACTTTTACTTGGGCTGCAGCTAGGCTACACAAAGTTTTGCTGTTTTTTGTGTGAATGGGACAGTCGGGCAAAGGCACTTCATTGCACCAGACAAAACTGGCCTGTTCGTCAATTCCTAGAGCCAGGTCAAAAAAATTTACAGCATATGCCATTAGTAGATTCGAAAAAAATTTTATTACCACCACTGCATATCAAGTTGGGCCTAATGAAAAACTTTGTCAAGGCATTAGATATAGATGGGTCAGCTTTTCAATACCTGCGTCAGACATTTCCAAGACTAAGTGAGGCAAAGGTTAAAGAAGGTATTTTTGTTGGGCCATAGATTCGAAATA